TTAGACAGAGGATGGAGGTTTTTCTCCACTCTTCCTGGGGTATGTATTTCAACATACTGCATTCTTTACAAGACTATTCTGCAAAGTAAGTTTGAACCTAGACAGTCATCCTCAGACTGTAAACTTGTAATCTTATATTTTTTCTTAGTCAAGTGTGAGTTAGCATGGGTTTTCTTTAAATTTTGCCAAGTTATTCAAGCAGCTACTTCTGTGCATCTAAAGAGCCAGGGCAGTTGACTGTACTTATTGTTCACTGTCAATACATTTCTTTGTTAATGGAAAATACTGAACTATTGTCAAGTATTAATATCTGTATACTGTTTTGTTGTTGAGTACCATTGTGGGAACCAATTCACAGCTGACCTTCCAGCAGGTTTTCAGAGGCAATAAATCACCCAGGAGGAGACACTTTTATCTTTCTCCTCTGGAACAGTTGGTGGATTTGAACTGCATACTCTGTGCAAAGACTTATAAATTCTATGTAACTCATTGTTTAATAATCTATAAAACTCTATGGCTTTAGGAGCATAAATGTTTAGCAAAAATGCTAAACTACAGAGAAGAAAATTTAAATATCCTTAACACGTTTTTCAGTGTCAGCATTCACTGATTTTTGAAAACATTTTATCTATACAGTTAACTTTTCAATAGTTAGGAAATCTTCAAAGACAAAAGATTCTTAATCAAATCTGTAAGAGAAAAAAAATTCAGGGTTTAAAGGTTTTTTGGGTTTGTAAACTAGCCTATAAATTTTCATGTGCTGGTAAAATTTTGCTCTGGAGGCAAGGTGTCATAGATTCTATTGTAAGTTACTTTATGAATCTATGACTCAAAAGTTGTTGAGTAGCACTTTAGGGAATCCAAAGGCTCATTAAGATTTTAAGCACTCTTTACTCAAGTTAGTCACATGCAAACAGTATTTTTAAAAAAACCCAAAAAGTACAAAAACGGAGAAATCATTAAAAAGTGTAGGTTCTCTTTACAACCTCTGCAAAATTACATACTGTCCTTGCTGAGGGGTAACACAACAGAATTCCAAGATCCTGTCTTCTAGCATTAGCAAATGTTCATTTTAAATGACGAATGAGGACAATAAAAACACAAGTGAAACTAATTAACACAACATTTTTGAGGTTTTCTGAGCTATCAGGAATTCTTTATCATCTCATAGAAAGCACACAGATTAGTAAACCAGCACATATCTTTTGAGAAGCAGAAGGGATTCTCTAACAAAAATATTCACGGAGCATTACTAACATAATCTCATGCAACATGATGCATGGATCATGTCATAGAACTAAGAAAGGAGTGTTGCATCACATTTTAAAAACTAAATTCTGTCATTACATATCACAGAAAACAAAGAAAATTATAGTCTTCCAAGATATGTGTTTAACTCTTAAAATAGAACCCTGGAGTTCAGAAACTAATATCCTGGAAGAAAACGAGTTTAATAGAAACCTATCAGTATGAACACTTAAAGTGCATGTGTCTTCATGAGGCAGTATCAATCAAATTGTCACACCATTTAGGCTTAAATGCTAATAGCAAATTAAGTACAAAATCGCAAACTACCAAGAATGAGTAAGTAATTTTGCTTCTCACTGGTATAATACACAAAGACATCATCAGAGGTTGAAATATATATACAACTATGTCTGCAATGAAAAATTAAATTTTAATGTAAGCATGATTTTTTCCTAGACATTTCTATTCTCATTATTGAATTACCTCACAAATTACTGACCAGTTAATTGCTAAACTGTGGTCACGGTCCTTATCCTGAATTTGCAGCACAACAGAAATCCACAGTATCATTTCCTATTTCACATCCTAACATCATAAAAGTAAAAACGTCAATCTTAAAACGATTCCATTGAAATAGAGACATTCTACAAGATTTAAGGGGGGGGGGCGGGTAGAGGAGTGCTTAGGGCTAATCTAGAGAAAGAAGTCATCTGTGCAGAGAAATCAAGAATCGGATTTCATCACAGAATCAGTGAAATTCAGCTCCATGTCCCTGTCCAAGAAAATTACCAAATCTAGGGAATAACCTTGTCAAAGAGAAAAAGAAAACCCAAACAAAAAAACCCCACCATCTTACATTTTCTAATCATATGGTTTAACAAACAGACACTTCTTCGTAGAGAAATCGATGCACGCTATGCTTAAAAACAAATTATTTTAAGATTTTCCTCTAATGCTACCACATACCAAACAAAAACACCAAGAAAGCTTTGAATCAAAGCCACAGTCATTTGACTTAATAGTCATATTTCTTGCACTATGTGTAATCACTAAATTTCAAAGCACAATTTTTTCCATTTTTCTCCTTCATCTTTCACGTATTTACCAACTTTCCAAGCACTTCTATCTCCAGTATATTAATGATTTAGCAAGTCCCTTCCATATCTACTTTCTCAATGTTAGCACTGCTAACTACGATTTTATAACACTTCTAAAGATTTTCCTGACCACTTTGAATTGTGAAAATACTATTATTTTATTGCAAGCTTTTGGAGGCAAAAAGGACACATACCTACCTCATGAAGACACATACCTACAAACAAGATACTGGAATCTGATTGAAAATAAAGCCCAAATAAATACATAATCTCTCTGGAATACTACTTAGGTTGGCCATTCACTATTTTAATATGTTTTAACTTACATAATATTACATTTTTATCCTTCATTATAGTGCACCTCAAACATATAGAAAATATTCTTTCAATTGTTGAATTTAGAAATAATATTTAGAAGGTATTTTAAAAAGAATGCAATAAACCTACAAGTCCCTAAAGTGCAGTTTACACCACTGATGTATTTAATGAAGTGTAATTAATAAGAAAATCTGAAAAATGTGACTGGATATTAAGTGATATCATCTCCTTTCTTCAATTTTGTGATTAACAGGACTTTTATTGGTAGTAAACTAGAGCAAACAATCAGAATAATACATATGCAGTATTCAGTACACACAAAGTTAAAGAAATTCAAAACCTGTATAAAACAAAAAACTGGAGAAAAATCATACAGCTTAAGAGATACAGTGGTAAAAGTCCTCTCCATCCTCCGATTACAGCCTGGATTCTGTATCAAATAGAGTTTACCGCACTTACCCAAATAAGAAATACAAATTTTTAGTACTGAGTGTATTTAAGAGGCTATTTAAATACATTATTTTCTAAGAACCTTGCATTGACACACAGGTGGCTCTTCAGCTGATAAAGAAGACTTAGGGAGAAAGTAGGGAAAGGAAATTAACTAATATTTGTAACCATTTTTTAATAATTTCTTATCTTTCCAAACACTGCTTTCATAACAGAAGTGTTTTACACTTGCACAATATTAATTACTTTATTATACATGGAAGCCTGTGGTAGGCTTGATTACACAATAAGACTGCAAACAACCAGTGGTACTTTTCTGACGTCAGAAAAGTACATAAGACTGAAACATCACCAAAAGTACATAAAAAACTCATCAGCATAAACATCAAAGTACATTAAAAAATATAATCAGAAAAAAAATACAATTGCTAAAAAGTGGTTTAGAGCAGAGCCACTGCCTATCAGTAGCTTCAAATGGCAATTAGCGTTCATAGCAAGTGTTGATGACTTTACAAGACCCATGTACAATACTGACTAATGTACCCTTTAAAAATGTACACTGAAGGCTGCAATTTCAGAGGTTCTCATGTAATCTCTAAAAGCTGACACACTCTTCTCCCATACATTAGCTATGCCACCAGTTGGAATTACCACCTTATTTATATATATATATATATATATCTATATATATCTCTGAATATGCTGGGGTTTATTATACATGGAAATTTGTATAGGGTATGTTTTAAAAAGGTCCAGGGGAGTCTGTTAATTCTACTACTCAGTATTGGGATACCCTAAGGCATAAAAAATGCATGACTTATCAGAATGTGAACCATTGTAAAATTTAAACTATCAATATAAAGAGTAGGAGGCAGGCCCAGAACTCTTTAAGAAAGAAGATAGGTTAAGAACAAGAACTAAAACCAGAAGTATGGGTGATAGTATAGCTGAGAACAATGTTTTAAACCATGTATAATAAATAATGGACTTCCCAAATTGCAATCAATTAGGTAATTCCAACTTGGGTTCTAATACTGGAAGCAATCAACCACTTGGGTTTCAACACTGTACTAGATGTCAGAAAAATCTCTTAATGGAATTACAGCCTTGCTATAGTTGGGAGGGGTAGGGTGCTTTTTTCCTTTTCCTTCTTAAAAATAAAGCTACCATTCCAGGCTTTGATCAAAGATCCAAGAATATTTGTTCTACCAGGCTGGAATGAATGTGGTCTGGAAGTTAAAGAGTACATTTAAAAAGCTGCAACAAAATATAGGTAGCCAACATCTCAGAATTTTGGATCAGCCCAGATGAAGATAGCAATTTGAAATGTTTTCGATCCCTTACTTAAGATGATGAAATGTATATCCTATCAGCCCAGATACAGCAATTTGAAATGTTTTCGATCCCTTAAATGATGAAATGTATATCATACAATCTGTAAAGTAGATATTCCATTACAGTGATAACGTACAGAATTCCCATGCGTTATTACACTTTCCTGAGAGTAAAGCAATTAGAACAACCTTAATCCTAGCAAAAAAAGGTGGAGTTTTTTTTCAGTTGTGTTTTTTTTTCCTAGGTTTTTTGTGGGCTTTTTTTGCATTTAAAACTTTTGGGCTATTCCCTGACAATCTATACATGTAAATTTGATTGCTAAACATTGTCACTTTGAATGTCAAACTATTTTTAATCTATTGATTTTGATTAAAAATCATAATACAAACAGAGCTAAAATCACACTAACAAAATAAACTAAATATGAAAAGTTGCATTGAAAGGGCATTACATTATTCTTAATAGGATCGTGTAGAAACATTCCAATGGCAGTGTTCTCAAAATAAAACAAAATTACAATAGGAGACTCCCAGCCTGGTCACTTTTGGGACCTTACCTGTAACTCTGGCTGGTGGGTGTCTTTACTCTTGTACTACATGGCTCACTTACATCAGACATCATATTTGTATACCCTGAGAAATCTGACACTTAAGTCCTTACTCTATGGTCCACTTCTCCATTAGAGTTAGTGATAAAGGTCATTGGCACCCTGCTGCCCGACTTAAACTGAGAACCAAATGCTTGTGCAAAGTTCTCAATCTGGTATGTTGTTCTAGGCTCTATGTCTTTCTGAGGATCTATCTGGCTAGCTAACTCCTGAGATGGAATCTGAAAGCTTGTTGAGGACTCTAAATTTTTCTGTTGTTCCTTCTGGCCAGTCAATTTCTGAGATGAGGACTGGAAGGCTGATGAAGTCTCTAAGTTCTTCTGAGAATCAATCAGGTCATCTAGCTCCTGGGAAGGTGTCAACTGCTGATGTGTAGCATCCAAAGCAGATAAATAAAGACCTGGCTGAGATCCAAATAACATCCCAAAAGGAGGCTTTGGCAATGAAGATGGCAACACTGAGGTAACAGATTGGCCAAAACCACACTCTAAAGGAGATGTAGTGTATATTTGTTTTTCTGGAAATAAAGTGTGGTTGTGGAGAGGTGAAGACAAACTGACAAACTGGAAACTGGGTGCAAGAGTAAAACCTGCGTTATTGGATTTTTCAAAAGCCTGCTGGAGGTATTTGGAATATTCCTGTAACATACTTGCTTTATCATTTGAAGGTGTTTGGGTGCCTGGGCTCAAATTTTCTTCTTGAACCAATTCTGAGTGTTCTCCTGAGGTGTGTAAATCCACTCGTGGCTCAGTTATGTTGAAAGGATCCTCTTTCTGACTTTCTGATTTGTTGGAGTATTGATCCAAAATACTTTGTAAAACCTCATCAGGTATTCCAGACTTGTCATGACAAGACTTAATTTCAGCATTTAGAGCCGAGGAGTCAATAAGTGACAATGGCGCCTCATTGTCCAAAACACTGACACCTGCAGACTGAATGACGGACTGCTGGGAGACCATGTGTCCTACGTTTATAGAAAAGGCACTGTTGCTGCTGGCAGTTGGTAAATATCTTCTTTTCTTTGAAAACTGCATGGCATCATCGTAATTACTACTTATTTGACCTTGTTTGCCACTTGTACTTTGGAGAAGACTAATGGTCTCCACACTATTATTTGATACTATGCCAAGTGAGCCACTTGGTTTCCCAGACAAGGATTTCTGTCCAACTATGTCTGGTAATGGTGACACAAAATTAAGGTAGTTCTTGTCTGTATTTTTGCGACTTCCTTTTTTAAAGATGACTTTTGGCACCCTTTTCTGTAATTCATCTATACCAGGGCCAATTATGCCTCCACTGGAAGACACTGTTGGCATCTCTACTGAGTAACTCTGCATGCTTACATTATTTGAAATTTGTGATTCGTTTGTTTTACCAGTCTTATGTTCCTTATTTTCAACAGCTACGCTTTTTGACTTCGTCTTTCTCCTTGAAGAACTTGTATTTCCCTGAGACAACACAGCCAGATTACCCATACTGTTATGGTTTGATGACCCAGGTTCTGCACTAGCTGCTCCTTTAGCTATGGCTTCACCACATGTACGCCTGTGCTTCAACAATCTATCAGTTCTGGAAAAATACTGTTGGCAAGTGTCACATTTATATGGCTTTTCTCCACTATGTGTCCTCTTGTGTCTTTCCATATGGTACTTCTGAATAAACTTCATGCTGCATTGATCACATCCAAATGGCTTCTCACGACTATGGATTTTCTCATGTCTCTGCAAGAGATATTTCTGAATGAAACCCATACTACACTGGCTGCACTGGAAAGGTCTTTCTCCTGTATGAATGAGGACATGTCTCCGCAGGTGATAGGAGCTTCGGAAAGCAGCACTACAGTGATCACAGATATGAGGTTTCTGACTTGGGGAGAGGATGGCACCTTCTCCATCTCCAACCAAAGATGGTTTGGATGATGCACTTGGCTTCCTCTTGGCTTTAATTCCCTGAGATTCTGGCTTTGGCCTCTTTGCCTTTTTGACATTTGTGTCCTGCTTTGGCTCCTCACTGCCATGATGATCATCAGTCCTGCTACTGCTGCTTAGTAACACATCGCGGTGGTGCTGGGCTGGTTGCTGCTGGGCATGCTGGTGGAGAATGCTGAGGTCCTGGATGACGCCGTGGCTCCCTCCTTCCCCGCCTCCGAGGCCTGGAGATCTCTCTTCAGCCCCAGCAAACAGCCCTCCAAAGTGGTGGTGGTGATGGTGGTGGTGGGACTGCTGCTCCTCAGGTTCCGTTGGTTTCTCCTGTTTGATGCTAACCAAAGACTGCAAGAGTCCCCAGGAGGACCTCTGCGTGGGGAAGGCCGCTGCTGACGCCGCCGGCTCCTTCTTGAAAGTCATGTCCGGGGCTGGCGGAGGGGGGGGCTCAGCGGCCGGGGTTGCGGAGGTAGAGGAGGATAACACGCACTGCGGGGGAGGGGCGGCCGACCCCGCCGGCCGGGTGAAGCTGGTGACCGGGGGAAGCCGGTGGTTGAACATAACCATACCCTGGGGAAAGGTGGGTTCCATCTCTGCCCTCCTGCTGCTGCTGCCTCCGCCGCTACCACCACGGCCGCCGGCGCCGCTACCACCGCTACTGCCGGTACCGCCGCCACTCAGGAACCCGCTGCCGATTTTCATACCCCGGAGGAGGCCTGGCTGAGAAGAGGAGGAGGAAGAGGGAAGAGGAGGGGAAAGAGGTGGAACCGGGCCCCGGGCCGGGACCACCGCAACACTCAGGACCCCACCGCGCCGCCGCCCAGACCGCAACGCGCCCAGCGCTAATTCCCAGCCCAGCCGCCTCCGGCACCGGCACTCAGAGTTCTAAGGCTCTCCCCCGGGGCTCGCCCTCTCCCTCCGAGGCCCATTGGCAGCACTTACGGGTTCCGCCGCCGCCGCAGCCGCCGTCGCCTCCAGTTAATAAAAATAACGCCGTCCTCTCCACAATGGAATTAAAAGCCTCCCCCAAACTGCGCAGCCGCGGCGCGGTGTGTGCTGGGAACTCCTCGACCAGGCCGGAGGGGAGCTCTGTGGAGCCAGAGCGCCTGCGCCAAAGCTTCCGCCCGGCCTGCCTGTCAATCACTGGGGCAGTTGAGCAGGGGGGTGGTCCCTGGCGAGAGGGGCGGGGATTTGGAGGCTGCCTAAGGTGGGATTTGCAGCAAGATTAGGCGTGGTTTGGTGGGCTGCATGGAAGGTGAAAGTGGTTGAGGGCTTTTGCAAGAAATGCACTCTCAGGAGGTGGAACCCAGGGTGCAGGAAGTTTCGCGGTACAGTCCAGTGGCTGGGGAGACGCAGGGGAAGGTTGCAGAACATGGGGGAAACTGAGAACTGTTGGATTTTAGAGTTTGCATTTTACAGCTGCAATCCAAATCCAAAACTGATCACTTAGGTCACATTTAATGCTGTTCGAGTCAACAGCATTAAACATCAAATACACAACATTTGTTAAGCCAGTTTGATCTGGTTTTAGAAACACTTTCTTAATGGGGCATACTTTAATAGGAAAAGCTTTCTTTGAAACCGCAATAGAGGTACCATTGCAGAGGGTTAAAAATGTTGTCATACTGCCAACCTACCTGAAGGCTACGAAAAAAGGAAACAGTGTAATCCAGGTGCAGCAGCCCTGTAAAACACGCCCACACAGACCTCATCTTCAGATGTTATTTAAGTACCCACATACCTTCGTATTCCGTGCTAATGAGTTTGTTTGCTGCCTGACCTTCCAAAGATCCCAGGCAGGATTCACTCCCTCTTCCTCCATTCAGCATGGAATGTTGACAAATACATACAAATACAGGTTGCTGGGGTTTGGTTTTTTTTTTTTTGTTTGTTTGTTTTGTTTTTCTCTTAAGAAAAATTACAAAGTCAGATCAATAAAATGGAAACGAACATGTTCAGTGCCTAAAACATAGCAAGCATTCTCATGTTAAACTTACTAAAATCTAACAGTCTAAAGAAATACATATATAAAGCATAGAATATTTGTATGAAGACTATGGTACTTTATTTACATAGTATCTTTTCATAATGAAATTGCAAATCAATTTTCTCACAATATTTTAGCTAAGTATCTTGGAAATTTTACAGTTCCAACGATTAAGAGATAATTTACAGACTTCTCTGAACTATCTCAAATGCTTAAAAACTAAAGAGCACTTTGAGATAACTAAAATTAGTACTTTTTCTAACTCCATGCAGTTACATTTGAACATGCTGCCACTTAAGCCATGACTCTTTACTACTGTCGGGTATAATTAAGTGTTAACAGAAATACTGGAAATTAAAAAAACTTAAGGTAGTGGTAAAATATTAGTCAATGCCTATGAGAAATGAGGCTGCCCCTTTATGCAGGGTGTCAGTGTTTAATAGTAAGCTGGGATGCATATAAGCCAATCCAAGCATGAAGGGCAGTAGGACAACTCATATGAAAAGCCAACTTTGCTCCTCAGTTATCAAGATAAGAAACCTGTCATTTCTCTCATTCACTCTGTCAGCCTTGAGATACTCCAAGCCAACTTACCTCTGTGTTGTACACACCATATATCAGGAAGATGAAGAGACCCTGTAAAATAAAATGGAGGGGGAAAGCTGTTAGCGCTAATCATCATTTCAGCAGTAGAAATACCTGAAATAAACTTTCTTAGGAGCAGACAAAAAAGACACACTTCATCAAGGTCAATTTCTTTTTCTATTTTTCAACATTAGAAACTGTACCTTGAGCATTTATATATATGCTAGCATGCCAGCACATTGCTTATGGTGGTGTGCTTTTGAATTCTTTAGAAAGAGAACTAAAAATACCATCCCAGGTACGCGGAATACTAATTGGAAAAATCAAAATGTCAGGCTCTGAAAGAGAGCTGGAGGATGAAAACAATTAAACTCAGAAATGTCATCAAACTAATCATAGAAATAACACTAAGCCCTAGTGTTTCCATGCACTTATTTAAACTATAATCACTACAGAATGTATTTATTACTGTTTTCAAAGTAAGAGTGAAAATATGTATCTTATGGAAATAGAAAAGCCCTTGAGGAATAAGCTCATAGTAATATCTTAATGATGAGTAATTTTAAAAATAATATTTAAAATACCAGGTCAAGTTAAGATAAAATTTCACATTATTACCCACGTGTGAAAATGGTATACATTTGCTTAAGATACTATATATTTCATGAAAGTTCCAAACATAAATCTATATGCATATATATGTGTGTGTGTGTGTGTGTGTGTGTGTGTGTGTATAAGTATCTTTAGGAAATGATGAATTAATGATAAAACAAACTCAGCTCTTATAACTTAAGCATAAATCAGTTTTGAAAGAAAGTAATATGGATGTGCTTTAAAATTATTAAAAATAATTGCTGTTGTTATGTGCTGTCAAGTTGCCTGTGACCCTATTTACAACAGCTCTGAAGCCTTCCCTGTCCTGAGCTGGTCTCACTGACTCTGACACACCTACCTCCATTGCCCTAGTTACTATATCAATTGATGTCATCTGGGGTCTTCCTCTCCAGTGCTGTCCCTCTACCCTTATCCAAAGACCAGTCCCTCCTGGCCTCATGCCCAAAGTATGTGAGATGGACCTTCAAAATACTATCTCCAAAGAAAAAATGGTTTCACCCTCTCCAAGACACACCTATTAGTTTTCTTGGTGTTCCATGGTTCAAGACTCTTCTCCAGCACCACAGTTCAAAAGCACCGATTCTTCTTCTGTCATCCTTAGTAATTGTCCGGCTATATGAAGTATAGCAAGTAATTGTGAAGATCAAGCACACCTTAGTCTCTAGACTAACATCATTGCTTTTCAGTACTCTGGAGAGGTCACTGACAGACTTATCTAATGCAATTTGTCTTTTGATTTCCTGACTGCTGCCAAAAGTGTTGATTGTGGAGATGTGCAAGCTATAACCATTAACAACCTCAATGGAGAACCATCTATCATGGTGCTGCCAATTAGCGCAGCAGTGTGAGTCTTTGCCTTCTTGATGTTGAACTCCAATCCATGTTGAAGACTATAGTCCTTCACCTTATGCAGTAAGTGTTTCAGGTCCTCCTCAGATTCAGTAAGTAAGGTTGTGTCATCTGTGTAACATACGTTGTTGATGAGTCTTCCTCCAATACTGAGGCCACATTCCTCCTTATAAAGCCCAGCCTCCTGAATGATCTGTTTTGTATATAGATTGAAAAGGTATGGAGACAGGAAGCATCCCTGACACACTCTGATTTTGAACAAGACAGTGTTTGCCTGATCTGTTTGGAGGACTGCTTCCTGGTCCAAGTATAGGTTTCATGTAAGCACAATCAAGAGTTCTGGGCTTCCCATTCTCCTCAAGGTTAACCTCAATTTGTTGTGATCCACACAGTCAAATGCCTTTGCATAGTCAATGAAACCAGATAAAAATCCCTCTGGTACTCTTCGGTTTCTGCCAAGATCCATCTGTCATTGGTGATAATGTCGCTAGAACCATGACTCCTAAACTCAGCTTGTATTTCTGGTAGTTCTCTGTCAATGTACTATTCCAGTTGTTTCTGGGTCTTCAGCAGAATTTTGCTTGCATGTGATATTGTTCGATAATTTCCACACTCTGTCCGGTCATCCTTTTTTGGAATAGGAATAAATATGGGTCTCTTCCAGTCATTTGGCCAGGTGTTGTTGTTGTTGTTGTTGTTATTATTATGTGCCGTCGAGTCACCTGTGACTCATAGTGACTCAGTGTACAATAGCCATAAATCCTACTCTATCCTGTGCCAATCTTATTGTCTCTGACACACCCACCCACATTACCCCAGTCACTGAATCAATCCATCTCATCAAGGGTCTTTCTCTCTTGTGCTGTCCCACCACCCTCCCAAGCATGACGTCCCTCTCCAAGGACTGATCCTGCTTGCAACATGTCCAAAGTATGTCAGACAAATCTTCAGAATCTTTGTCTTCAAGAAGCAGCCTGGCTTCACCCTCTCCAGGACTTGTTTGTTCTCCTAGCAGTCCATGGTATATTCAGTACTCTTTTCCAGCACCACAACTCAAAGGCATCAATTCTCCTTCTATCATTCCTAGTCATTGTCAAGCTTTCTGATGCAAAGCAAGTAATTGCAAAGTATCTGGCGCACTTTAGTTTTCCATACAGACATTGTTGTTCTTCAGTACTTTGGAGAGTTCTCTGACAACAGACTTTCCCAATGCAATTCGTCTTTTAATTTCCTGGCTACTGGTACCAAGAGTGTTGATTGTAGAGCCAAGCAAACTGAATCTGTTAACAATCTCAATCTCTTCACCATCTATCATGATTGCTGCCAATTGGCCCAGAGAAGAATCTGTTTTCTTGATGTTGTGCTTCAATCCATACTGAAGGCTGCACTCCTTGACCCTCTGCAGCAAGTGCTTCAGGTCCTCCTCAGTTTCAGCATGCAGGGTTGTGTCGTCTGCATAATGCAGATTATTGATGAGTCAGCCTCCAAGCCTGATGCCACACTTCTCATAGAGCCCAGCCTCCCGGATAATCTGTTCTGCATATAGATTGAAAAGATATGGAGATAGGACACAACCTTGGCATATACCCTTCCCAGTTTTGAACCACACAGTGCTTCCTTGCTCTGTTCTGATGACTGCCACCTGTTCCAAGTATAGGTTTCACGTAAGCACAATCATGTGTTCTGCAATTCCCATTCTTTACAGAGTCAGCCACAATTTGTTGTGATCTACACAGCTAAAGTATTTGCATAGTTAATGAAACACAAATAGATATTCCTCTGGTACTCTCTGCTTTCGTCGAAGATCCCTTGGACCTTAGCTATAATATCCCTAGTACCACGGCCTCTTCTAAATTTAGCCTGCACTTCAGGCAGTACTCTGCTGATGTGCAGATCCAGTCATTTTTTGATAATATACAGCAGAATCTTGCTTGCATGTGATATTAATGATATTGTCCGATAATTTCCGCACTATGTTGGGTCACCTTTCTTTGGAATGGGAACAAATATA